ATCATGGCTGGGGGCCAGAACAAAGGCAGCCCTGGGGGCTCTTAGCGCCCCCCTGGGTTTCCGATCACTGTCAGTGGCAGGGGGCTTCTTCCTGCTTTCCCTTTCGCGTCCCTGCATTGTGCCTAATATGCAAATTAACCGCCATCTTTGTTGGTGGTTAACTGCCATCTGAGTTGGCAGTTAATTTGCATATAGCCCTGATTAGCCAATGAAAAGGGTATCGTCGTATGCCAATTGCCATATTTCTCTTTTATTAGTGTAGATGATGATGATGATAGAGATAGCCAAGATTTGGAAGCAACCTAAGGGTCCATCGATAAACAAATGGATAAAGAAAAAGTGGTATATATATATATACAATGGAGTATATGACTCAGCCATAAAAGGGAATGAAATCTTGCCATCTGCAACAATATGGATGGACTTATCCTATCTAATAATAGAGAAACATGGTAATTAACCATAACTTCGCTACCCTCCCCTTTGGTTAATCAGCAAGATATGCAAATTAACTGCCAGCCAAGATGGCGGCTGGCAGCCAGGCAGCTGAAGTGAACATGAACATGAGGCTTGCTTACTCCAGTGATGGAGGAAGTCAACGTTCCCCGCTTACCGCAGCTCAGCTCTGAGCTCCGGATGAAACAATGTTGCAATTATAGAACCTAAACAAACCCCAGAAACCTGCTTTCAGCCAGCGCGGCCTCAGAGCTTAGAGCGGCCAGTGATGGCAACAGAGTTTCAATTATAGAATCTAAACAAACCCAGGTACCTGCTTTCAGCTGGCAATGGCCTCAGAGCTAGAGCCTGCTCTCAGCTCCAGTGACAGCTAAATATGCAAACTGACCCTAACAGCAGAAAGACTGGGAATGACTGGTCACTATGACACACACTGACCACCAGAGGGCAGATGCTCAATGCAGGAGCTGCCCTGTGGTGGTCCGTGTGCTCCCACATGGTGGAGCTCTGCTCAGCCACAAGCCAGGCTGATGGCTGCCAGTACAGCAGTGGTGGTGGGAGCCTCCCCTGCCTCCTCAGCAGTGCTAAGGATGTCCAACTGCAGTTTAGGCCTGCTCCCCGCTGGGAAGTGGACATCCCCTGAGGGCTGCCGGGCTGCCAGAGGGATGTCTGAGTGCCATCTTAGGCCCAATCCCCCTGGGGAGTGGGCCTAAGCCAGCAGGTGGTCATCCCCTGAGGGGTCCCAGACTGCGAGAGTGCACAGGCCAGGCTGAGGGACACCCCATCCCCCCTGAGTGCACAAATTTTTGTGCACCGGGCCTCTAGTGGAATATAATAAGTGAAATGGGTCTGTCAGAGGATGACAAATTCTATGTGATTTCACTTATATGTGAAATCTAGAAAACAAAATAAAATAATAATCCAAAAATACTCATAGAAACAGATAACATTTTGATGGGTTTCCAGATGGGAGAGGCATTGGGGGGCATGGGTGAAAAATGGGAAGGAATTAAGATGTGTAAATTGCTAGTTATTGAAACAGTCACAGGTTGTAAAGTACAGTAGTAACTATGTATGGTGTCAGATAGGTACTAGACTTATTGTGATGTTCACTTAGTAAGTTATATTAATATTTAATCCAGGGGTCCTCAAACTACGGCCCGTGGGCCACATGCAAATACAAATGTTGTATTTGTTTCTATTTTGTTTTTTTACTTCAAAATAAGATGTGCAGTGTGCATAGGAATTTGTTCATAGTTTTTTTTTAAACTATAGTTAGGCCCTCCAATGGTCTGAGGGACAGTGAACTTACTCCCTGTTTAAATAGTTTGAGGACCCCTGATTTAATCAATTGGTTGTATACCTGAAGCTAATATAATATTGTATGTCAACTGTAATTGAAAGGTAAAGAATTATTTTAAAATACTTCAGTAAAATAGGAGAAGGAAATAAGGGAAGAACAGAAATCAGTACAATAGAGTGCAGATATACAGTAGAGAAATTGACAAGGTTAAAAGTCAGATCATTAAGAAGATAACAGAAATAATATAAGTAAAAGGTATAAAAGGTAACTAATTATTGAAAAAAAGATTCACAAATTACAGATATCAGAAATGAAAAAGAAGACTTAATTACATAACTTACAGATATTACGAGGTTATGAACATTTTATCAACAAATTTGACAACATAGATAAAATGGAAAATTTGATGAAAAATGTACATTACTTAAACTGACACCAAAAAATATAGGAAAACTTGAAATCCCATGTTTGTTAAATAATTTAAACCAGTAGTTTAAATCTTTCCCACAAAGGAAATTCCAGGACTGCCTTGTTTTACTAGACAATGCATTCTTTCAGTTTTGAAATGTAGAAATGTATGTTAGACTTAACAAGAAAGATCTGAGCTGGAAAAACAGATTTGGGCCTTATCATACAGGTATGTTATTTATTTATACCTAAGGTAGTGCTTCACACCATCATTATGTTTGAGATCACCTGGTGTAAGATGAATGAAAAGAGTACATAAGACCAGATAGTAAGAATTTCTAATATGAAACCAGCAGTGGAGACAGAGGGGTAGCATAAAAAGTAAGTAGTAAATCACAAAATGGGATATAGAAACCAAGAGAAGAGTTTAAAGTAGAATAATGTGACTAGTTTATGAAATGTATTTAGAAATCTACACCTATATAGACAGAGAGACACGACCATTACATTTGGAAAATGAAGGTCTTTATCAATATTTGGCAGTCATCATGGTAAAGAATTCTAGAATTTTAGGTTTTACAGTGAATTTATAGCATGGGATGGTCTAGGGGTAGTAAAGATTGATGTTTCAATTCTTGCACCTGTACTTACTATGTTTGACTTGGCAAGCTTCTGTACCTCTCTGTTTACCCATCAATGAAGTGTAGCTTTTACTTGATTCTACTATATTGAGTAATTGATAGAATTGAGTAGTTTATGTATAGTTTTTAACTTAGTGCCTGACATCTTGTCTGTCCTTGGAATGTATTATTTAATATGATGATGATGATGATGGCAATGGCGATGTTTTGGATTTGAAAGTTATTACTTAGTTTTACTAACTTTTATACAAGTTTCAAGAATAAACTGTTTTGTGTACTCACAACTGTAAGCCTACTTTTGCCCCACCCTTTACTCAAAGGGTATTTAGGGACAAGCCAGGGACCAAGACTTCTGCCTGTTTGCCCCCTTTTTCCTGTTCTCAGGTGAACAAAGAAGAATTAGGAAAGGAAATCCCTAAAAGTAGTAGGATGAGCCCAGCTGCCTTTTGGACATCAGGGTAGATCACATCATATTAGGCATGTTCTTCATAGAATTCTGAGTTAGATCTATTTTTTAAAGCTGAACAAACTTGTAGTGATTCACTCCAAGTTTTGATCCTTCCATCTGGGTTTGGTTATAGCCATATGCCCAGACTATACATATCAGTCTGGGATTTCCTTCCAGTAAGCTTCTTGCCCTCCCTATCATTCTGTGGGATATTTTAAGCCATTTTATTGTGTTCTATCCCTTCCAACCTCCATCCATGCTTTGGCAGGGTTTTTTACTGCTTATTTACAGTCCTTAAGTACTTACTCAATTTTTAAAAATCTATATGCGGGTGATATCCAAATATATTTTCTGAAATTTCTGTAGGACTCTAGACACATATATCCATCTGCCTACTTGATGTCTGTATGCAGACATAGTATAGTGCTTATGAGTGGTTGTGTTTGAATCTTTGTTCTTCCACTTACTGTGTGATAGGGGCTGAGATAGTTAACCTCTTTATTACTCAGTTTCCTCATCTATAAAATAGGAATAATATTAACTCAGGAAGTTGTTAGGAGAATGAAATGAGTTTAAATAAGACAACACATGTAAAATGCTTAGAGGAATTTCAACACATAGTAACCTCTTCATAAATGTTACTTGCTATTATAATATCCTTACCATTTTAAACTTAACTTGGATAGAATTGATCTCTTAATCCTTATTTCCTATCTCCATACCTCCTCTTTTCTCTAGTTTTCTCCATATCAGTATATGGCACCTCTATTCACCTAGTTACTCAAACCCCAAATATAGTTGTTAACCTAATTCCCTCATTTTCTCACCATCCCCTAATCCACCAACAAGTCCTTTGTCTTTACCTCCATAACATATCATAAATATGATCACTATTTTTCCTTTCTATTCATACTACCAACATAGTCCCAGTCACTGTCAGCTCTTACCTGGAATGTTACAATAGCTGGTCTCCCTTTTTTCTATTCTTTGCACAATTCATTCCCTTCACAGCAACCAAATGGTGTTTAGAAAACACCAGTTTGCTCATGTCATCACCCTTTTAGTGATTTGCCTTTACACTTAAATAAAATCCAGACTCCTAATTCAGGTTTATATAGTCTACATAGCTTATTTATTTGTCTAGTCTTTCACAACAGTAATTGTTTAGAATACTCCAGCCCTTGCTCTTAATGCTTTTCTCCTAACTTGTTCAAATATTCATCACCTTCGGGTAGTAGATGTTCCTTTTGCTTGGAATGCTGTTTCTGACCTTCTTATGTCTGATTCCTTTTCATTATTCAGCTTTCTTGTCATTTCACATGGTACCCTTTCGGAGAGCTCTCCCTGACCAGGGTTTATAAAGTACAATAAAATTGTGGAATATACTTTCTAATTCAAATGTAATATAGAATCTAATAGTTTTAGGATTGAGTGGGACTTTATAGAAGATATTTTGTTCAGTTAGCCACTTAGAACAGAAATAACTTCTATAGTCCTTATTCAATCACTGTTCAAATATGTGACCTGTTATCTTCTTGGTTTAATAATTCTATAAAAAATAACACTGGTATTTTTTTCATATAGGATTTCCGGGAAAAAAATACAGATCATATGCGCCCTGACATTGTAGCTCTTCTGAGAAGTAGCAAAAATGCATTTATCTCTGGGATGATTGGAATTGATCCTGTATCTGTTTTCCGATGGGCGGTTCTCCGAGCCTTTTTCAGGGCTATGGTTGCTTTCAGGGAAGCTGGGAAGAGACATATTCAGAGAAAAACTGGTAAGCAGTAGTATTAGTATTCTACCATGTTTCATTTTATAATTTTTTACTTCTCCAAGGAGACATAATAATCTTATGCCATTCTGTTTTCTTACCATACCCTAACATCATATTTCAGATATAATTTGTTCTGGTGAACTTCATATAATTGAATTAAATAGATAAGTGATTTATATTTATTATATGGGTTGTTATTTTTTATTAATAAACACCAATAAGAATGAGTGTAAAGCACCTGATATTTAGTAGGCACTCAGTAAAACATTGCTATGATTTTTAAACAAAAAGTGAAATTTAATTATTATTTAAGTATATAGAATTTGATACTGATATCTTTCTCTGCTTCTTATGTGATAGTTTTTACTAGAAATGAAACAATTTAATGTGGAAGCATAAATTAGGAGTCATAAAATTAGATGGAGGTAGTGGAGATAGTGGAGATAACCTGACTTAGGTAATCAAGCAAATGTCATCTTTTCTCTTGACTGACTTTGCAGCTATTAGCAGTATTTCTTGGAGTGCTACTGTTGCCTTTAAAATTGTGATGGTAAACTCAGATAATACATGCAAAGTATCGGTTTATGACTTTGTTTTATTTACTGGTTTTAGATAGGAAGTGGAGGGAGAGAGAAAGAAAAAGAAACATTGATTTGTTGTTCCACTTATTTATGCATTCATTATTTGATTCTTGTGTATGCCTTGACCAGGGATCGGACCTACATCCTTGGTGTATTGGCATGATGCTCTAACCAACTGAGCTACCCAGTCAGGGCTATGAAGTGTTAGTCCCTCCCCCCGCCCCCGACCACTTACCCTTAACTCAGTTCATTGGATTTTACTTTGACATTTAGAAATGGTTAAATCAGGTTTCTTTTTCTGTATGCCTCTTCCTTAAATCATAAAATATCCCTTTTCACATTCTGTGGGAGGGCATCTTCATAAGCCCTTGTTAACTACTGAAATCACACTATTGCCTGCTGTAGTTCTAACCTTTGATAGACCATTGCTGTGTAGTGAGAATTTTATATGTAGTCATTTTCTGGCCAAAGTAACTTCAATAGAAGTGTGCTGGGTACACCTGTGTTTTTAGGACTCTGAGACTTATATGGCTTTTTGGCATGTGCACTACCAGTAAAACATTTTTTTTTAAAGTAAATCTTTATTGTTCAGATTATTACATTTGTTCCTCTTTTTTTCCTCCCATAGCTCCCCTCCACGTGGTTCCCCCCCTACCCCAGAACCTCACCACCCTATTGTGTGTGCCCAGCTCATGCATACATGCATATAAGATCTTTGTCTAATCTCTTCCCCCATCCCCCACAACCCCTTCCCTCTGAGAATTGTCAGTTTGTTCTATTTCCATGCCCCTCATTCTATTCCATTCACTAGTTTATTCTGTTCATCAGATTTTTTATTCATTTGATTTTTAGAGTCACTTGTTGATAGATATGTATTTGTTGTCACTTTGTTGTTCATAATTTTTTATCTTCTTCTTCCTGTTCTTAAAGAATTCCCTTCAGCATTTCATATAATACTGGTTTGGCAGTGATGAACTCCTTTAGCTTTTTCTTATCTGTGAAGCTCTTTATCTGACCTTCAATTCTAAATGATCG